TTATAAATGTATGCCACTAAAAGCGAAAGCTCATACGAACAAGTTTGCATAAAATTGAAAATTTCCTCTGAATCAATAGGAATAGCTGGCTTCGTCAAGGAGGCCCGCATTTTACGGTATCTAATGCTCAAATATTGAGCCAGGAAACCAGTACAGTTTTCTTGACATTTCTTTCAGGGTGAACGGAAAGTAACGGGACACTTATGAAATAAACGAATTTAATGAACGCTTAAATGCTAGATGTTGAAACAAATCATGTTCAGCTGAGACCTATACTTTTCCTATGAGATTTGAAGTATTGAGTGCCTTTTCAAAGTCCTTGATTCAATTTTCTTCTATGAAAACCAGCTTAATTTTTTATAACTGCTTTTTATAACAGCGAAGCAACTCACTAATTATGGACGTTGAGGAGTATTTACGCAGCAAAACATGTGAAGCTATCCAAGATATACAACCGATTTCAACCACGTGCTCTTTTCGAAGTTCTACGATACGCAGCGCGTGGACATTGCGCAGCGATCTACGATCGATGCGGCAGCTTTGAACGCTCAAGCTTATGCTTCGAACGTGGCACAGAGCTTTATCGTTGCGCTTGAGCTCCTTGGCAAGGGAGCACATCGTTGACACCGACTATAAGTGCAGCACTTAAATTTAACTTCATCATACACGCGACAGCTCTAATACCAGGGCTTCAAGGCTGAAGATTTGAGCAGTTCTGAATGAAGGGAATACTTGTTATATATTTCTTGCGTATGAATTCAAAACTTTTGGATAATTTCTGAAAGAGCTTCTTACGCTCTGTCCACCCATGTGCAAATTACCTCAAACATGATTTTTTGGGTTTTCATTGCGTCAAAAGCATTCATACAAACGCTCGGAACCATCCGCAGCATCGCAAAATTATGGCACTTCCGAAAGGCGCTTTTAGCCATCAGAGCTGCCAGGAAAGGCAAGGTGTGGGCGGTCTGCTCGCAGTGACGTCACAAAAGGACGAGGCATGGACTTTCGCTGAAAAAAGAGAACCCCGAAAGTCCCAAAATGCGAAACCACCGACAACTTCTAAATATGCAGCACTTCCGGGGCGATTGTTACACAGCCAATATGACCGCTACGACACGTAGCTCCCGCTAATTTCAAAAATAGGCTTTTCATTTTCATCTTCCTTCGAGCGTTTTCACTCGTTTTTCTTCCGTTTTCGTGTTGTTCTTCCGCGTTCTTGGTTTCTTACGTCGTTTTCAACACTTCTCTGGTAGAACATTGTGGATGCAATCTTCGAACCAGCACCAGCTTGGAGGAACACTGCTTTAAGGAATGGCTGCCTCCAAGGAGTTGAAGAACAAGCGAGCGTACGATGCTTCACCCGGACATCTCACATCAAATAGTTGATCGTGGGCGTACTCAAAGTGTCGATGGAAGTTGTTGTTGGAAGTTGTAGTTAGAAAAATTCCATATATTTTCGTTTATATGCCTTTCTCTGTTCTAATTTATTTTCTCATATCTCTTTCTCATAGAAGTGCCCGTGATCTTCGCACATTGGCCACTTAATTCTTGTCAAATAGATAAATCACTTTGAATTCTTTGTAAGTTTGTGATCTGTCATCAAATTTCCAAGCCTTGCTGCAATCCTCTATCTGATCATGCGCTCATTTGCAAAATTACTTAGAATTGTGACTACGGCATTAGAATTTCTCAGACGTTCGAAGACATATTTTCTCTCTCTCAAAATTCCTCATTGGTTTGGTTAGTGCCAGCGCAATATTCCATGTTTACGGGTAGTTGTGTGACTCGCATCTGCTGATTTCCGCTTGATGGTTTGCTCGCGAAGAGATGAGGATTTGGTGTGAAGCGGGCTAGGTTGCGACAATTTGACCTTGCACGATGCCTTCCAAGGAAGTTGAAAATCCATCTACAAAAGGTAGTTATCGATGTATATATACACTCGAATTATATGCCGTTACGTGTCTATGTTTTTGTTTATATCTCAACTGTCTGATTCACAAGAATTGCCTCTGCATTCCAGGGAAAATTGACTTTTCAGTTTCCCGGCCTCCGACTTCACTTAGCATTTTCACTCTCTTCTAAGAGAATGTTTATTTCTGCCACAAACTGTATCCTCTTTCATTTTCTTCTCTAATTCTTCCATGTTGTATTTGTTGTTATGACAACGATTTCTTACATATGCAATTTTTTGTCTTTTTTCTTTTAATTTTTCTCACTGCTAAACGAATGCTGCTGTTATCACCGTGCTTTTTTCATCTCATCAGTTACCAAAACTCGTGTTTGTTATTTCACCAGTACGAATAAATAGAATTATATCGGGTATAGCGTTAGGACAAGTCTCATTTTTTCTCCCCTAAAAACTTTCCGTGCAAAACGTCTTTTGCGGCAAAACAAGGGGTAAGGGTTAATAAATACATTACTCCCCCCCCCATTGAAAAAAGGGGTTTCTGGGGCGAAATAGGCTTTCGCGGCTTCCGGAGCACAAAGTTCGGTGGGATTCAGAGCACGGGTCCTATTATGAGAGGGGGCTATCGCTTCCCTCCCACAATCCTTGTAGTGGCGCTCCAAAGAAGTCCAAACGTTTCTTTACATCTCATACAAATGCGCTGCATATATCGCAAACTCATTAAGCTTGTGGCATAGCTCTTCAAGCTTTTTAAATTATCATTTTTACGCGTGCGTTCTCAAGTTTTTTTTTGCCTTTTTGCCAAAATGATAGGCAAAGGTCACTTTCAGAGAAATGTTCTATTTTCCGCCTGGTCACTGATCAAAGCAAAACGGTTTGAAATTGTAGAAAAAATTAAGCTGTCCTATTACTTTTCGTTCTAATAGTTTGCCTAATGTTACTGCAGAAACTTTATTGCCAAGCACGATTCCGAATATAGTGTTGCTTTTTGGCTGATCACGGTTGGGTGGAAGTTTTCTGTTGTAATCTCACATAGATAAGGTGTGGAGATTTACACTGAAGTCATTCTTACGGTACATAACATCTTATATATAAAGCTGAATGTCTGTTTGTCTGTATGTCTGTATGTATGTGTGTACGTATGTTCCAAACAGAAAATTCCATTTCTGAACCGATCCGGACCAAAGTCACCCATACTCTTCGGGGCGGGGCGGGTGTCATAGGCTACTTTTCGTCATCGATCGATATAGATTTTATCGATTTTATCGATTATTTTGCAAAGTTTGGCTACGCGGCTGGGTTGGCACAGGGGATAATCGAGCATGCTGATTGCGAATACGGTTCAGTTTTGAAAATCATCCATTACTTTTATCGATTTTATCGTTTTCTTTTGCAAAGTTTGAGCCATGGGATCGGGTGTTGGCACAGGGAGGTAACCGAGCATAATGATTACGAATACAATGTTAATCTCAACAATTACCCATTACTTTTGGCGATTTTATCGATTTTTTTTGCAAAGTTTAAGCTACGGGTCTGGGGAGCACAGGGGGGGGGGGGAGGGTAAGTGAGCATGCTGATTACTAACACAGCAGGAATATGGAACTGGGACGTAGAAGTGGGCACAGGGAAAGGTTGTACGGAGATAGGGATGAGAGCTTTATCATAGTGTTTTGATAGGGCCGCGGTTCGAAAAAGCTGGCTTGAAGGTTGGCCAAAACTATACTTCCACTTAAGGTTTCTGTCCACTAAAGTAATTCTAGGCTTCCAAAGTTTTTTGTGCATATACATAATCAAAAGTCGAAACAGTCGCTTTCGTCCAGCTGTGTCATACCTTTATAAGAAACGTTTATCTGCTTTTTTCGCTTAAAAATACTTTCATGCGTATTTTGTTCCCGAGATTGTGTTTTTATGGGTGATTTCGCAGTTTTTTGGCTGGTTTGGAAACGATAGGGCTTCTTCTATCTTATAAATGCTTAGCGAAGTGAGAACTAGAAAAAAATTTAAGTTTTCATATTTTAAAGGGCACCCGACATAGACCCAACAGCAAGTCTGCGCTCACATTTTTGCTTTTAAACTCTTTCTGCAATGCTCATGAGCGTGGAGTAAAGCAATAACATTGTTGTACGCATGAGAGTCCGGATGCAGTGGTTGCAGATTTCCGCAAATCTTAGCATGCAGGCTAATTGAGGAATTCATCTTGCAAAAACTGATTTGCAAAAAGCTTTGAACTTATTTTTGATTCTGACCGTGATACTCATGTGAGTCACAAGGCATTATACAGTACAGGGTGTTTTCACTATCTAGCACTAAAGAGTGACAAAAAATCAGGAAAGGTTCCAATTGGTAAGTATTTTGGGATCGCCTAAATATTATCACTGAACCGCGAAGATCTATGCTTTGAAAACGAAGCAAAATATACTTGGCGAACAATCGTAAGTATAGTGTACATCTTTTTATGCAAACAATGCTTTACATCATTTTGAGCTTACAAAAATAGCATAAACTATTTTGAAGGCAAAGATTTGAGCGCAGGCTTGCTGTTAGGTCTATGTCGGGTGCCCTTTAAAATATGAAAACTCAATTTTTTTTTCTAGTTCTCACTTCGCTAAGCATTTATAAGATAGAAGAAGCCCTATCGTTTCCAAACCAGCCAAAAAACTGCGAAATCACCCATAAAAACACAATCTCGGGAACAAAATACGCATGAAAGTATTTTTAAGCGAAAAAAGCAGATAAACGTTTCTTGTAAAGTATGAAACAGCTGGACGAAAGCGACTGTTTCGACTTTTGATTATGTATATGCACAAAGAACTTTGGAAGCCTAGAATTACTTTAGTGGACAGAAACCTTAAGTGGAAGTATAGTTTTGGCCAACCTTCAAGCCTGCTTTTTTCAAAATTTCTGATTTTTCCTGAATAATCAAACAAAAACGGGATCCGTTCTAGTTGCTGATGGTAGCCTGTTAAACACGCAGCTGTACCAAATTTCAGATCAATTCGTTGAGAAGCAAATGAGTTACGGCAGTTTTCAGGGTGGAAGTATAGTTTTGGCCAGCACTGTATAATTTTGTTTAGAATTGTGAACTTTATTGCAGATTTCTTTGCGCAGCATTCTTGAAAGGACTATCGCGGATGAGCAAGGAATGCTTCTCGAAAAGAACACCACTTTCTTGGCTCCTTTAAGTGAGTTAAGTTTCAAAAAGAGCTGTATCTAAACGATATCTGAGCGTGGTAGCCGCTCGCAGCAAAAAACATGAGATATTTTGAAATTTTTTTGAAAAAGCGTGCGTCTCGATGCATACAGCTTGTTTTTATTTTGTTATAAACCAGAAATTTATTTTGTTATATAAGCTGTCACGATCTTCTACCAAGCAAAGTTGAGATGACTACGAGCACATTGAGATCAGGCATAATGCTAGATTGGAGTATCGTTACTTTGATGCGCTAATGTATGTCTGTGTGATGTGTGTTACGAAGGATGCAGAAGCGCTCGTATTTGCTCGTCATTGTACACGTTACTTGTTATTTGGACATGCGATGAGATCCACAAGGCTTTCAAGAAGCAGTAAATGTGAATGCGGATTTTCAGTGAAGTCATGGACTACTTTTGAGTTTTGATTTTCAAAGCCATCGACTGCTGCTCTAAAAGTGATCAAAACCCACTCTTTTGAAAAGCTTTTAGAAAATGATAGTTGCGTAGACAGTTAACTTCTGGAACAAAGTACAGAATTGGTTGGGGACGTATGCATCAATTATTTTTCTTGACTACCAACTATCGACACAATAGCTAACTTCCCCCATTGGACACCTAGTGGACGGATTCGAATCTGAACCAAAGCACGTCGGTTGCGGCAGAGCGCGGCACCCGCAGCCCTTACTTTAATCTCAACAGGTTTTTTGTGTTTTTTCGTGGTTTCTTTCTATTTTTAAATGTTTACAGTCTTCTCAACTGGAATCAAAGATTCCGTTGCGTTTGAGCGATGTTTCGAGCTGCTGTGCTCGTTTTTCAACTCTGATTTCAGGTTAAACTTGAAGATGTATGCAACTTGTCTTGAATGTTGTGTCATTGTACATTATGTCAAAAATTCCCCATGTGCATCGTTTTTTCAACGTCACCTGAAAAGAGAGCTAAAGAAACGAGCTTAGCAATATGAAACATCAAAGCAATGACACACTCGTTGATTCTCACCACGAAAGTTATTAAAACAAAAGAAGTCTCCATGCAACGACGAGAATATATAAAAAATATTGAGCTTGAAATGGATATGACCGTGCCGCGCTCTGCCGCGACCGGCGTGCTCTAGTTCAAATTCGAATTTGTTCACTAGGTGTCTAGTGGGGGGAAGACGACTATATAATTTAGATCCGTATTTGTGCTGCTAAAAATTTCTATCATCATGATTGTAAGAGAACGTCATAGGGTTCGGCATGAGGTGGCTTTGGTCATTTTTGGAAATGAAGTCCCCGTTGATTTTGCAACAGTACGAATTCCCTTATAGCACGCTCCTTCATATATCGAAACGAAAGGCAAAGATGTATAAAAAAAGAATACAAAAAACAACAAATAGACGATAAAACAACTGGTGTTCCTTAATTGACGGCATGCTGTGCGCGCTTGGAGCAGGATTACCGCCGCCATTCACATTGTTGAAGGGCTGTAACTAGAGAAAGGAGGAATCGAGGAAGTCTAACATTCGAATGGTTTTGAATGTAGATTGAAGCTATGTAGAAAGTGTGAAAAATATGTAAGTGAAGAATATATAGTTTTGTTTGCTCTGAGTCACTTCAAGTGGCTCTCAGGTGGCTTAAAAGCCATCAGCTCCAAAATAGTTTGACACGCCTTTAGTTCACATAAACATAACTTTTCCACATAGTTGCAACTCTCTACTGAGCGTCTACACACCAGTTCTGGTGTAATATCGCTTCGTCTTCCTTGTAAACAATCCTTTTGTTTCGGGACACCTTTCTGAATTGCGCTTGCACGGAGAGCATATAGGAGCAAGAAAATATTTTGCAAAGAATGGCATCGGTACGGCAGTGGTAAGCACTTGCAACTTTTCCAGATAATAAGGATGTAGAGTAAGTTGTGGGGGGAGGGTAATCATTGTGAAGAGAGGGGGAAGGGAGAAGAAGTTTGGAGTATGTATACGTGACTTATGCAAAAGTGACGATGAGATAAGCTTTCTTTGTAGGGGGAAGGATGCGAAAATTTGCAGGATTGAGGGCGTGGAGTTTCGGACAACTTCTTGGAGGTTTTTTACGCGGTAAATTTCATGTAAAAATCCAGTTTTGGATTACCTCAGTATTTCTTGTCTGGTCTCTATCCGCACAATAAACCTTTTGCATATTCTAAACCGGTATCCAGCCTGCGCCATAAGCCATCTGTGCCGGGTTGTGAGTGTAAGTCACCAATCTCACATATTGAACTTTGACAAAAAAACACTTATTCGTGCTTTATGTGCTGATTATCATTACCCAAGTGTTGAAGCGTTCAGCATTATGCGATCGGAAGGCACTGTAGTAGTAGGAATAGTACGAGTTCCTGCAAGGCAAAGGTTTCGCACTGATTTTGGTCTGAACTAAGTGTATACACCATACTCTCCTGCATCTCGTTCATCCATCAAACTTTTTTCCTTATATATCATAACTTATAATAACGGGCTAAGGATGTTTACGTGACTTTGTGTGTGTGTGTGTGTGTGTGTGTGTGTGTGTGTGTGTGTGTGTGTGAGAGTGTGTCTGTTACGAAATTCGTGGAGCGTGTTCCAGCCAGCGTTCTAAGCCCAAATTTTGTATAGCGCATGCTACCTTCATGAAAGTCCAACATGCAAAAGCACGAGTAGATTCGTTGAGTGGATCCCTCAGAAATTGCGCGCCAAACGGGTCCACCTGGCTTCTATACCGCAAAATTCGGTCCGTATCACCACTTTTTGCAGAGTCGTGGATGAGTTTGGTAAGCAAATATGCAAGCGATGGAGTTTAGCCAGAAAAGTGGTCGGAAGTTCACTACATAGCGAAAACGGCGCCAAAACGAATTGGTTGTGTAAATGGTCAATTTGCCAAGGTTCTAGCTAAGCGTTTGAGAAGATTTTCGCACAGAGATGTAGCTCACGGTTATCATTACCTCTATGGCGACTACCAAATCATGACAAATCTAAAAACCTATTCAAATTTGCGTTTGTCTTCCTGCGAAAAGTTTCATTCACGCGAAATCACCGATCTCACGTGAAAAAACTTTGTAAATGAGTGGTTGTTTACATTTTATTCGTGGTAGTCGGCATAGCGCGGTGAGTTCCAGTGCCACGATTTTACTTATAAGGGTTATAAACGTGCAAATGACTTGTTTGTACTTGTGAATAATTAGAATAATTTTTGAAAATCTCTAAAAATTCAAATTAGCCTTGTAAAAAATGTTTTTCGCCACGCCCCCTTCTTCCAGATTGGGGGTTCGGGACCCGCAAAAATTTTGAGAAGCACCCCTAAAATTTTTTCGGAGTGCGTGGCTAACGCCACGCACCTTCATTCGAAAAAAATCTTTGTCGCCCCCCCCCCCCCCTCCCGAGCGGAAATCGTGGGTACGCCACTGCAAAGTAGGCATATAAGCAATTCTGTTAACGGATAATATTTCACGCTTTTCAAAAAGTCACAGTTGAATAAATACAGTAGTTGCTTGTTATAACGCCTAGAAAATTGACCCCATAGTAAAATGCTTACCGATTTGAAAAGTTGTAATTTCAGTACTTGGAATCACTCCACACTGTCTTGTGTACTTTGGTTGGCTGCAGCAAATCATGGCAGGGTATGCATACGGCACCTACACATTGCCAAAGAAGAAATATTTTTGCGGCAACTACCTGCCGATAGTCATGAAAACGGTGCGTCAGAATTTATTATAATGAACAAGCTCTGCATCTTCCATCTATTTTAGTATGACATGACAATCCGCCTCCTTTGTGTGCACGTATAATGAGGACGGGGGGGGGGGGGGGGGGAGCGATGAGAAACGGCGTACTTCGATTCTAGAAATTTGTGTTCCTCGTGCTTATCTTCAGGGCTCTATTATCTCAAAACTTTAGTATAACGAAAGGCGGCGCATCGCTTACAACCTAAAGTTTTCATTGTTTTGTTGACTGGGGGATCGTTGCAAGAACGCCTAGTCTAACCTTTTTAGAACTCAACGAAAGAGGCGTAAAGCGTTGAGCATCTATCATACAGCGCTGAGCATGCCTTGGTTAGGGCAAATGACATATTGAAGTTATGAGTTTTTCAACAAATCCTGATTCGTATGCAGTGCTTCGTCAATGATATTGTCATTCTGAAACTTCGCTTATTTCTACCAATACTGGCAGTCATATTAGATCCTCAGCAAAGCTTTATTATGCTTACGACAAGTTTGGGAAAATATAACTGACTTTGAAATAAAGCAGTGATCCTCGGGATTTTGCAAAGGCTCATGAAAGCAATATAAAACAGCATATATGACACTTCCTGTCATTCACTGTGCTTACAAAGAAATGGTCAGAAATTGAAAGGGCCAAACCGAATAAGCTGCATACCATTAGATGCAGCATAAGACGCTGAGTTCGTATCTGTATTCCATACCTGCTTAGCTCCTATGTGGGCGAAGTTATAGGCTCTTGAAGGCCGTTATTTTTTGAGAAATCGTGCATGCAAACCTCAAACTTGACAGTCCAAACCCATGTTCTGCTTAACGCTGGGCCAATGCAGCTAGGTCGGTTACTTCATATTCTATGCGGCTGGTTGCATTGACCACTTCGACCTTCGACTTCTATCCATTCCCTTGTACGGTGTTTGGGGTTGTGGAGCCTCTGAAAGATGGGCAAAACGGGCGATACAGATTGCTAGGACACCGGGATATGAGGCTTCTCACAAGCTTCCTTCTCCTTAGGAATGTACATGCATGCATTTCAATTGAAACGATTCACGCTTTCAGCTTATATACCTACCAAATTTGGGGCCGCGCTCTAAACGACTTATTCACTCGAATTAGTGGTGAAAGATTTTCAGTGGAGGTCTGCTGCCATCTTTAAGCATATGATACATAGTTTTTCGTGATCTGTTCTTGTCCACGACAACAATTTAGGTCTCATACGATTTCTGCGCTGTAAACGAGTCTTTCCTCGCGGCTTTGCAAATAGACCTGGTTCTTTCTCTACCATCTACATCAACACATATGTCCCTCACTAACAAGACGTGGATTAGCGCGGCACAGCTGCACCACTTGTGGGCGCATCATTTGGCATGGCGATAAAGTCTCGTGGCGCAGACTTCGCGCTGTTTTACATTTGCTTTTCTGTCTGAAATATGTCGCCCGTCTCCTTCAGTGGGTACGTTTTCCGAAAATTCTCTGTTCTTCTGAAGAGCAAAAAAACTTTGTACGGGTGAAAACAGTGACTGTCTATGCTTGTTAATAACTGAAATAACTTTCAGAATTCTCCAAAAGGTCAATTTAGTTGATTTTCAATTAGGTTGATTCAATTTGTATAAAAGTATTCGTATTGCAGAAGAACTTTAACTGTGTTTTACAAGTTTTTCACCTCAACTAAGAGAACTTCACTATAAGCTAATGCAACTGTTGCGTTGCTACGTCATTTCGTTCTTAAACGGTGGCTATGTTTTGCTATGCAGACGAGGAAATTGTGCTCTGACATTCTTTATTGAGAAAAGACCTCGCATAGGTACTAAGAGATAGCAGAGATATGCTTAAGAAAAGAAAGCCTAAGCAAAGAGCTCACATTGCATAGAATTTCATCTTAACAGATAGTAAAGCTTGAGACTCTTAGAGTAAGCATGCTTATTTCGACATTGAATTAAAGCAATCCAAATCTTAGCAACGGATTACAACTATAGATAACAGTGGGATGTTGGGATGCGGATGCTCATGCATGTTATCCTTACAATGCGGAACCAATGGGATTTTTCAAGATAGACTAAATGCTGTTTAGGAGAACACTAATGAAGACCTGTACCTCGGCATCAGAAGATTTGGCCGAAGAATACTCATACAAAACTTGTTCGGGTGGGTTTGACTTCAAATAAAGATCCACGTTTGTACAAAGAAAAGTCGAAAATTTTCCCTTTGACTTATTTGCAAAGGCACAAAGGTTATTAATGTGTCGCAACTTGTACTGCTGATTAACTATAATAGATAAAAACGTTATACTGCTTGTTAGTGGATTACCAAAAAATTGAGTGTGGATGCAACCCAAATGCTTCGGACGTCTTTAGTATCTGGGTATGAGGTGATAAGGCATACAAACGATACATTCTATGATGTAGGAAATGAAGCAGTAGGTGACATAAATGGTGAAGTAGAAAGCCGACAACGTCAGTAATTGACAGAGAGGGAAAAGAAGGAAACAAGGTTAAAAACTTACATACTGAAAGGATACCAATCCATAATTATTCGAATGGAGACCATTCGTCAATCTAGCTCCGAAATATAATTTCAATAGAAAAAAGCATCAAGGTTTAGCTGCTAGAACTGTCATAAGAACTGTTCCTATGAGAACGCGTATGCCACCCTCACTCGTCGGAAAGCGACCTAAATTCCAGGAGTAGGTGGAGATTATGAGAATGGGTATGCTAGCTCAACAAACCTCAGTACCCGACGTACTGGATAGTACCCGACGTACTGGATGAGCCTAAAAATCATTATATGATTCTTAGATGGCTCCGAATTTTTTAGACCTACCCTCAAGTCATTCAAAATAAAGAAAACAAACATTCTAATCGTAAGAAGAGTTCTATGGGTTGTTTCATAGTGCAGTCTCTGCAGCTACTGCGGTCATATGAGGGCGGGTAAAAGATATCGATCGATCGACTGCTGTTGCTGCAGCGACTGCAGTATGAAACAACCCTATGCAAAAATTCTGGACTTTTGGACTATTAGGTCGTCCCAAAAGAATTTCCGCTTTTTTTGAACAAGCGCCACAGTCCGCAGAACAAAGGTTTACAGGAGCCCTTGACAGCATTCGATGCAGTTTTTCATGTTCTTTCAAATGATCATCTTTATAATGCAGATGAAGCAACGAGCTCTCAGAAAATTGCTATAAACTGCGACCCATGCTTTTTACCAAGGTTAGGTTCAGCTATTTTTCTAAATTCTTGTACTGATTCCCCGAAGAAGTCCAAGTAACAGTCGATAGAGCAAACAGTAGGAAGCAAAACAATTTTTGACCCTTTCAAAGCTTACTTTGGAAATTTTTTAGTATTATGTTCTAGATGCTATCAAATTCCATATTTGGTCAACTTAAATCTCATAGAACAACAGCCGGTAATCGGTTGTTATTCGACGCAACATTTTCTGCTCTTTCAAAGACATGTTATTTGTTCCTGATTCGAGTAGTCTTGGAGGATAAAATTGACAAAATTCATGTCTTTAAGGAACCCCAGGCTGTACCCGACAAATTGGAAATTAGATGTTTCGAAAACCAGAACGCTCACTTGTTTCGTAAAATTAGTGCTGGATTTTAATCCACTTTGAAAGTATCAAAAATCGAGAATTTATAGAGTTTGACGAGTTGCGTCTGGTATGAAACTCCTAAAATTCGATGCTGTTGTTCGAAATTCTGTCAAAAAAAATTATGAAGAGCCCTGGAAGGGAGTAACTGTTTTGTATCCTACTTTCTTTGCTCTATCCCAGGCCACTTCTACTTCTTCGGGGGGTAGTGCAAGAATTTAGAAAAATAGTGGAACTTGACCTTGGTAAAAAGCATGGGTCGCGTTTATCGCAATTTCCTGATAGCTCATTGTTTCAACTACTAAATAAAGACGACCATCTGATAGAGCATAAAAAACTGCATCGAATGCTACCAAGAGCTTCTGTAAATCTTTGTTCTGCGGAATGTGGCGCTTGTTCAAAAAAAGCGAAAATACTTTTGGGACGACTTAACACTTAGATAATACTTAGATCGTATAAATAAAATGCATGTAACAAAAAAAGATTGAAGCAGAATCATACTCAAAGAATAAACACATAGTACAGCTACAGGAACTGGACAATCAAATGAGAGGAAATCACACCACGAAGAAAGTTTGACAAGCCATAGCACGTATTGTACTTGATCGCTCAATACACCTTGATTTACATGATCCGCTTGCTATTGGTCACTATACTGAATTAACCAATGTGAAGCGGATCAAGGGGAGATCAAGTGGATTGAGCGACCAAGTATGGCCCCCTCTTTTGATTTAAGTGAAGAGGAAAGGGAAAATGAATAACAGGATAACCAACCTACGGCAACAAGATAAACAATGGACACAAGTATGATGATTGAGATCGAACTGCATACTGGCGGCAACAAGAAGGAAAAGCGTGAAAGACAAGCTTAGGCGAGTGCACTCAAGGTATTCAGAATCTGGGTCGGTAGTAAAACTCACTCAGAGTTATAACTCAGAATTAACTCTGAGTTATCTCTGGGCTTACGCGCACCTTTTCGACCCCTTAACTGGTGCTTGAACAGACCAAGTCTGGAAAGCGATAATATGGCAGGATACTTTTTGATAGTTTATGCCTGGTAGAGCAATATTGTCCAAATCGCTTTGCACCGAAACAGCGTCCCAGACGCACAACTGAGCTCTGCAATAACTCTGAGTTTGGTACGCGATCAAGTCTATCGTAGAACTCAGAGATAACTCTGAGGTTGGTCAGAGAAAGAGAAACAGTGTACGAAAGAAAAGGGCAGCAAAAAGTCTTCCAGAGTACATTTTGCTCTACTTTCAAAAGGCATGATGGGGGTAACGTGGTGCGCAGTAATTTACAAAATTATGATTTTGTTAATCAATCAATCACAGAAAACTTTTGCTGAAACTAGAAGGCGCGGATATTCGTGGTCAGCTGCTGAAAATGGCTGGAATCTTACCTAAGTGAACGTAGAATGACAGTGCGCGTTAAAAAACATGTATTCAGATAAGTATTTGTGTAGCAATGGTGTTCAACGGCGAGGAATCCTCTCACCCTTCTTGTTTTTACTTTATACAGCCAAACTATCCTCATTCATCAAAACCCATCCAACATGTGCAGATTTTTACCGATGATCTCAAGATACACGCTTGCTATGGAAAAGAGGAAAGAGAAAAAGCCTACGAAGCCTTTCCTCTTCCATGAAAGGAGTTTATTTATGGTCTGAAATGTGGGATCTGCCCTTGAATCTTTCAAAATGCTTTGTCATGCACTTAGGCGACACCAGTACTCGTTTCAGGTCATATATCTGTGGTGGTACTGAACTTCAGTATCGAAGCGTCGTGAAGGATTTAGACGTTTTTGTTGATGATGCTCTCAAATTTACTGCATCTATGATTCATCGTCACCAAGTCGCTGGCATCGCTGTTTATACTTCTACGTAGCATCTACAGTAATGAACTTGGACTTTTCATGCGTTTATACGATACATATGTCTTACCTCATTTGGATTATGCTTTACCTGTTTGGTGCCTTATTTGAAAAAGCATGTAGTGAAGCTCGAAAAAGTTCAAAAATTTTTTACAAGGATAGTTTTTTGCAGACGTGTCCTGACCCTGGATACCCTCGTACATTACAGTCCTACGGTGCTCGACTTGCAGTTTTAAAACTGCATAGTTTGAAGTATAGACCTGTTGTTAGCGACTTAGTGTTCTGCTTTCGTATCCTAAAATTAGAAACGAAATTTTGAGCCAGTAAATACTGGATCTTTAGGCCTAGTGGAGAGCGTAGAGGTGGGTCTAATTTGCATTACAGGAAGCTAAGTAAGAAATGCTTTTTGCAAACCTTCAAATCGTATTTCTGCCGAACCACAAGATGGTTAAGCCTTTTACCTAAAAAATTATTCCAGTAAAATCGCATCATCTTTTTGTAAGAAATTAGGTTCTATTAATGTACTGGAATGTTTGCATATGGCTGATGTTCAGGTTGAATTTTCTAATCGTTCTCTTCTACCACTGATTCTTGCCAGCTGTGTTGTTAACGTTGGCGACAACGGTTCATCGAGTCATTGTTCTTCGGCCTGCGCTGATCGAAATTCTCCATCGCCGCATTTTATTTCTCATTCCGAGATTACCAAACGCCTTTTCATTTTTTTTTCTGTTTTTTCCTCCTTTGTCATACTAACTTCATTGACGTTATTATGTTGCTGGTTACTAACAAAGTGGCGCGCCTATGAGCGTAATAAATAAATTAATAAATAAATTTTGTAAAATCTTGATCCAGGGGTTATTCGGTGCGCTGATCACAGCATGGTACTCATTTTTCACATGCGGTCATGAAGCCGGCTTACGGTAGGCTTATGGTAGACAGAACAAAATCGCAAAATTGGCCGAAACTTGGTACTCTGGGGTTATCCGGGGCGCTGATCACTGACGTCTATATGCTCCGTCCACCGGTGTTATTTTGAGCGGATACGACAGGCATGCTGTACTTACTTACATAGATACCTGGATGGCCCGTCTTCACGTGGGGTGCGGGCCTCAGCATAAAAGTTTCCATCTATCCCTGTCCCTCGCTTCAAGCATCCACGATATTCTTGATTGACGTCGGTGGTTGCGCCCACGAGTTCCAAGTGCGAAAATTCCATCCAGCTGATTTCTTAGCTGGTCCATCCGTTCCACGTCTGCCCATCTCGTTGGTGGTCTTCCCCGGGGACGTTTGGCTTCGCGAGAAAACCACTCAAATGTTCTTAGTGTCCATTTGTCGTCTGTTCTTCTCATGATGTGACCAGTCCATCGGTGTTTCGCTTTCGCAAGAATTCTGGGTCACGAAGACGGGACATCTCATATCCGTGCTGCAAAGTCCGACTAGACGTTGCTTGCGTCGGGTCATCTGACTATTCTCGATCGCTCTGTGGGTGGTCCGTAAAGCTTTCGACGTGACTACAGTGTCGGCCCAAGTCTCAGCTGCGTAACAGAGCGCCGGAAGAACGGTTGAGTCGAACAAATGGGCACGAAGCTCCGAGTCCATCAGTTGGTCGGTGGCTTCCTTCAAAGGCCGGAAGGCGGCCCAGGCTGCTCTACTTCTCCTGTTAAGTTCTATCCTCAAGTCGTTCT